TGTGCTTTGCTTGTGGAGAAGAAAAGACTATGCCAAGTGCCCCCAAAGTGACATTTAAAGGGTTGTTCCAAAAGCTCAGGCATTACATGAAATACAAACTGAAGGTAGCAGATACCAGCAAACGTGGTACAGGCACGTCCTCCTCCCATGCAGTTTGGAATGAGAAGGTGGTGGTGTCCAGAGGATGGGAGGATGCATTATTAGAGAACAACTGCACTCCTGAAAAAGTCCATATGTGAACGTGATGCAGCTGCTGGATTGCTTGTGGGGAGTTCTATTTTGTACAACCCATAAAGGAACCTGATGTCTGGTCTTTTGTGGACAGGAGCTTTCAGGCTTTGCTCTGCATTAAAACATGCAAAAATGAGTGCTGGGTAGGCACAGGAGATGTCCTCACTCTGTGCAACTCTAACCGTCTTGGAAGATTTGTTTGGTGGCAGCCAAGCTGGTCAAGTGTCCTTTGGTTCAGGAAAGATAAACAGTCCAAAAGTCAGTGAAGCAAATCTGTGTGTTCCACACAGGCAGATTTAACCCAGTCATTAAGTGGATTAATTCAAGTGCAAATTCTGTGATGCCATGCCATGTATCCATCTAAATATTAAACGTAATAAATCAGTGTCAAAAACTGAGAATTTCCATCCAAAATAAGATGCAAAGCCAGGTTAGCCTCCTTGTCCATTTACCCAGCTCTTGGTCTGTCTGTTACGATTTACAGAGAGCCTCCTTGTCCATTTACCCAGCTCTTGGTGTAAATCAAGGAGCCCAGGAGTCTGTCCGTTATGATTTACAGAGAGGTGCTGAAAAGCCACAGCACAGCCATAGCTTCTCATGGGCATGAACTTCTCTTGAATTTGACCTGTATGCGAGAGGTATCTGTATCCCATTCCAAAGCCTTGATTCAGCCACCCCAATGTACTTAATAGGAGAGACTAATTTCCTGTTGGTTCGAAAACAGAATTACAGAGGCAAATACAGCATTTGCTCTATTAAGTAGAAAATGCTGTTAATGAGCAGTGCTGCTAGCTTGTTGATCCTAACCAGAATGCAGGAATGTATAAAGATATTGGTGTCAATATTGACTGACATTTCATTTGAGCGCCTCTCCCTTGGGATCCCAAAATCAAGGCATCTATAAAGCTTTTACCCTACTTAGCTGTGTAATGCTTTCTGGAAATGGAGGTCAGTAAGATCAAGATCCCCATAATTGCAACCACTGGAAAAATGTTGGATTGCAATAAATTTCTTCTGCTCAAAGGGTATTTATTTTTAAAAAAAGTAGTATTGTATGAAGGACAATAAAGTAGGTAGTAAAGTAGGTGCTGTAAGAAGCAGCACTAAGATTTGTTGGGGGAAGAAGCTTGGGCCAAAGTGAATGAAAAAGGAAGACAATAATCTGAATTTAGTAGTGACTTCCCTTATGCATGGAAAAACATGAAGTCAGTCAACACATCTCGTACCAGAAACGGGGATGTCTAAAATTAATCCCACGCCGAGATGCAAGGCAGTTGCTAACATAAGGGAACAAAACCCAATGTGTTGGTAAGACTATCAAATACCACGTGGCAGCTTTGAGCAAGAGCTTGTGGTTTTGTTAGTGATTCATCTCAGCGCACGGTTCTTCCTTAGCATGCCTTAAATACTTAGGCAGCCGGAAGCGCAGTGAGCTGCAAACTTGCCGCGCTCTCCCTGTGCTGCTTGGCATTAGCAGGTGGCAGTTTCATGCCTGTGAGCCGAAGTCCAAGTTGTTCACGAGGCTGCGTGCCCAGCCAGATCTCACCGGGCGCTGGCGCTGAGCTTTGGTGTGGAAACCTGCTCAATGTTTTATTGCTCTTGTCTGCAAAAGAGGTGCTTGGGCTTGAGTCCTTGGTCCAGCCTGTCCGATAGCTCATGTGTCAGCTCGTGACTTTGAGAGGCTCAACCAAAAAAAAAAAAAAAAAACAGTAAATGCTAGGTTTGAAGGTGCCCTGCAAAGTGCTGGAGTAGGTTTCTGTGATTGCTGCTGCTAGCAGAGGAGGCTGCAGCCATGTCAAGAGCTACGTGCACGTCGTCCTGGGAGGACGTCAGGGCCTCGTCTGCGAGGGGGCCCATCTCTGTGCATAGTTTAAGCTTCTTTTGGATGACAGGAGTAGAGACATCTGTAAAAAGTAATACGGCCCCTTTCCTTCCAGAATAAGGCTATGAGTTTTCCAGCTGTTGGCTAAGACAGGTTTTCCTGTTGAAATAGCTTTTGTCTGATGTAAGCCTAAAACAAAATGGTTATGGTAACCGAAAGTATCTCTTGTGAACTCTATCCTATTGACTTTTTTTTTTTTTAAATCCCAATATTTCTGTTCATTGTTGCTTCTCACAGAATCAGAAAAAAAGTGCCATTCGGTTTCAAACACCCTATGAATCTTCCAGTAAAGTGCATGCTGATTCAGTGCTGTATTGTTTTCTTTGTCGTATTGTGTGACTCATTTTCTCTTATCTTTACAGTTGATTCTCATGATTAGAGAACATGCTCTTGCTTTCCTTCAGAAGTCCTGTCGTCTTGAATAATGCAGAAAGGAGCCGATAGTATAGATTTCATGTGGCTCCTGGTTACAGCCACAGTAATACGGGCTGTACCATATATTTGTCAGGCATATATTTGACATATATTTCATGTCTTATGTGTTTCTGAATGTACTTTAACTGTATATTTTCTTGCAAGTTGCAGCATTTTATGAATTAGAGGAACCCAGAAATTAATGGGATGGGAGAGACATTAAGGATCTGTTCGGCCAAGTCAGGGCTGGATTCTCTCTTCTAAGTTCCTTCCTGTTGCTCTGTCCTAGGCATTCTTAAATAAGATAAGATCGGACACTTTCACACTCATAGAAATCTCTTTTGAAATACCTCAAACAGTTATTTTTAACAAGTCCAAATTAATTTTATAGTATAGAGATCTTCATTTGGAATTTAAACTTCAGGCTTGTTTTCAGCTCTTTATGTGCTCTTTCAGCTCCTATGTGCTATGTGCTTTCAGCTTATGTGCTGTTTCAGCTCCTGTGTGCTCTTTACGAAGGACAGGCTGGGAAGGCGAGATGGTGGAGCTGCTCTTTGTGAGAGAGGAACTGGAATGCATGGAGCTCAACCTCGGGGTGGATGATGAGCGAGTTAAGAGCTTGTGGGTAAGCGTTAAAGGGCAGGCTAAAGTGGGAGACACTGTGGTGGGTGTCTGCTACAGGCCACCTGACCAGGATGAGGCCTTCTATAGTCAGCTGGGTGTTACCTCATGGTCACAGGCCCTGGCTCTCATGGGGGGCTTCAACTACGCTGACATCAATTGGAAGGACAACACAGCCAGGCACAAACAGTCCTGAGGGTTCTTGCAGTGCGTTGACAATAACTTTTTGACGCAGGTTGTGGAGGAGCTAATGAGGAGAGGTAGGCTACTGGAACAGGTTGCCAGGAGAAGCTGTGGAGTCTCCTTCTGTGGAGATCTTCCAAATCCGCTTGGACGCAGTCCTGTGCCATGTGCTCTAGGTGACCCTGCGTGTGCAGGAGAGTTGGCCTAGAGGAGCTGTAGAGGTCCCTTCCATTGTTAAGCATTCTGTGATTCAGAGCTGCTGGAGACCCACTACTCCTTGAAGTTGGGGGTTTCTAGCAGCTCTGAAAATATATGAGGAGTTGCCTCATCCTGGAGGCAGGAAAAGTCACTTTCTGAAAAATCTTTGAATCTCCAACCGTGGTGTTGGAAATTAAAAAGAATCCATGAATCACATTTGCATTTTTTGCAAGAAGTTTTCCAGAATTCCTGGCCGATTCTTATTTATTTTTACTGTTCTGCTTTTTTAGTTACCCAAGAATCTCGTTTTTCTTTATGAAGAAGCTAGTGGCTTTATGCGAAACCGATGGTGAAACTGTTGGTGAAGTAATTGTTCAGCAGCACTTGAAAACCTAAATAACAAAGAAGTAATGCCCTTGTGTACCAAGACGTTGTGCTGCTGTCGAGCAGCAGGAAGAGGTTATTGCACCCTGCATTGGAGACAAGAAGAAGACTTCAGAAATAATGTTAAAGTGTAGAAAAGTCTCTCAAGGGGTGAGATGGAATGGAACATCCTTGGGCATTCTTTCGAAGTTGTGTTGGGTACAGTTAGGTGGGGGAGTATTTTACAGGGATTCAGTTCTCATCGTGGCATATGGTGCAGTTAGACCAGCGCATCTCCTCAGCCCAAATGGAGATAGAAAATGCACATATGCATTAAGCCACCTTTGAAAGAATGCAAGTTTGGCTTGAAATCTGGGGGTATAGAGTAAATGCAGGCAGCCTCTGGAGAAACTGAAGTTTGGAGATGATTCAAATAGAGTGTTACTGTGTACTGGATATTGCACATTTGCATGGAGTCATGGAAAACTTGAGCAGAGAGCAACCCTGAAGAGGCTGAAGAAGAGACTTGATGAAATAATAGCAATCACAGAAGATAAAAGATAATCTCAGCTGAAGAATTTGGGGAAAGACACAAAACAAAAATACCTTGTATACTTTTTGAAAAGCACAATTTATTTTTACCCAGAATGAGCTCTGCCTTTTTTTTGAAAGGTAGCATTAATACAAATATTCATCGACCCCTCTTGCAACAGGGGAAGCCACCAGCATCTTTCTCCTCCACTGTGGACCGGTAAATGAAGCTGCCGGTGGCACGGAGTGTATGATATACTATGCTTAGAATGTAATTCAACAGAGAAGAGGTAAATATTTTAAAATAACATTGTTAATGATTACAATTGTAATCAGAAAATTAAAATTTAGTCTGATATACATAAATCTGCCAGGCTTGTCCTACTACACAAAAATTATATTATGCTATAAAAAATACTGTTTTTTTTTTTTTTGCTATTGTTAGCTTTTGCATGTTGCACTCTCAGGGCTGGGTTTTTCTCAGTCCTCTAAATAAAATATTTTACCAGTATGGAGGTGGATGTCCTGCTGGAGCTGTAGAGGGGGCTGAGCACCTCAATGGGCCGGTTTCTGGCGCATGCGGCCCTGCTGTGCGAAGCTGATGCTGGAGGCAGGTGGGTTCCCCTCAGGCCTGGGTGTTTCCTTCAAGACCTGTCACACTATCCCAAGACTGTTTGAATGCAAAAGATAAATAGAGAGGAAATGAGACAATGAAAAGGATGCGGCTTTGAAATACTGAGGTGGTAGAGCTGTCTGGAAGACCCAAACACATCTTTCTTAAAAGATGCAACAGTTGACTGTCTTCTGCTCTCCAAGCCTTTTTAGAAGGTGAGAAAACCACCCCAAACTCTAGCCTATGGTCTGCTCAGCACTGCTGTCCTGGACGCGCGGGAAAGCAGAGCACGTCCCGGCCGAAGAGGAACGCGCAGCAGCTGGCGCTCGGCAGGCAGCTCCGCGGTGATTCCCATGAGCTCGTGTCCTCCGCGCAGAAGTGAGGGCTGGGTGGAAGCAACTGTGTGGAGAAAAGGGAAAGACCTCGAGACTCAGTCTTGGGGGACCTGTATTTCACACTGTCACTGCATGCTGTGTAAGCATCGCAGCCTGGTGCTTTCCTGCAATTATGTGAATTACGGCTAAAAATAGGAGTTTGAAGAAGAAAACAAATGGCATTCAACTGTGTGTTGGGACAAAAAGTAATGAGCTTTTCTACACCAGCATTTGCACAGGAATGACCTATAAGCCTCGCTTTATATTTGTCCTTCCTTATCTTCACATCAAATTCTTTCTGATCACAAATTTTTGGTTTTTTTTTTTTTTTTCTTTTTTCTTCCTTCCCTTAGCCTACCACCATAAAAAGTAAACCGGGACTCTTCTTTCTACCTTTTACAGTCTCGATTGCAGGCACTGGTTTGGTTTGGTTTGTAGTACAGCTATCACTATGGTTTCGAGCTAAATGGACTTCCTCGCATGCTCTAGCAGAGGCCCAATTACAAAAATATCTATCTACCAGGAAAGAAACATGTCAAAAGATTGTGAGAGCAGGTTGCCTGGGGTGTCACAACCAAAGGCTTTTGCAAGTTTGAAGCCTGGAAAAGGAAAGGAGGGGCAGTGCTGGGTGGGCTGCCTCCACTCTCGCTCCTCCGAGTGCTGTGCACCAGCTGAGAAACTCAGCTTAAAATCCTGTGCATTTGCTTAGGCTGGGGGCTCCAAAGGGCAAGGAAGACCTCTAAGACGGGCTTAAATATTTTCCTGAGCTGAAATATTGTGATATTTACTCATTTTCAATGTGTAAGGAAGCCAAAAGAGTAAAATATTCCTGAAAGCTAATGACCTTCTGCTACAGTGCTTACGAAGTGATGCATTAATGGGAAAACTAGTGCTCTGAGATGTCTATTTACATTTAGGTCAACTTACACAGACCTGATGGTGAAGAATTAAAAAACGCTGAAAAACATTAGCCTTCCCCACATTATTTTAATATGGAGCCTGGTTTAGCTTCTCATGGCTCACAGGAGCTATCTTGGTTTTATTTGCTTGGCTAATTTGCTTGACTAGTTAGTTTTGCTGATGCTTTGAAATAAGCCTATAAATAAAGAATTATTGGGCCTTTTCCTCCTTCACCCTGAGGAAGTATTTTTAGGCAGAGTCTTGTTGCTTCTACCAGCAAAGCATAAACTTAAACTTTCCTGCTCAGCTCATCTGCTGTGGCATTAATAGAACCCTTAGCTTGTGCTGGATTCATTTCTCCCTATCAGCCACAAGCATCAGCCTCACAGGTTGCAATTCAGGCATTTCAAGGTTAAAATTCTTCTGCCAGAGTTTTTCCTGAGCCCCCTGGCCCTGGGCATTTTGATGGAGGGTAAGCTGGCCTCACAGGGGCGAGAAAGGTTTGGGGAATTGCATCTTTCCCAATGGAGATGTGCCCTGCAAATCACTTGCTTACAGTGAAAGGAACATTATAGGTATAGAAACGTATTCAAATTGTGGTGGTGATCATGTGCAACTCGGCATAAAATTTAGCTAAAGTAAACTGTAGAATGTTCAAATAAATTGTAGAAAGGGAGACCTGTAAGACTGGAAGAGAAGCAGTTATTTTTGGCTTTGCTTCTTCTGTGGCTTGAGTTGGCATGAACCTGCAAACTTGCTTGCAGAACTTGCCCTAGGAGAGCGGCTTAACTTTTGGTGGAGCACAAATTCCCCATCCATTGCCATAACCGACTAAATAGCTAAGAAATCTGCTTATTTTTTTGCAATAGGCAGTATGTGTGACCTGTGCACCCTGCTGATCACCCAAGTGGTTCTGTGTTTTGGTGCTCAAAACCTTCTGCAGGAACAGGATGGTTGCAGGAGAAAAGTCTTGGGTTTCCCAAGTGCAAACAAAACTGTGACCACATAATTTCACCAAAGCCAGAAATTTTTGTCTGTCATCTCTTTTTATGTAGTAAGTTTTGACTGATAGCTAAATTCCTTAAAAGTTGGGTGCGACCTGCCCATCTCAATAAAAGCAGCAGAAACCGAAGTAAAGCCAGGTGTTCGAGGACGTGTTCTGCCTTGGTATTGGCCTCTGCTGTGATGTGGTTCTGTGAATTACTAATTACTTGCATTGGTGAGCAAGGCTTGCTAGATAGTTGCAAGTACACCCAAGACTGTGGCTAAACCAAATGACCCAAACTAGAAAGTGGGCAAAATAATGTGGAAAAAAACTTTTCCATGCTCTTTACTTGCCCTTGTGCTCTGTCAAGATGCCTGAGCTCAAACCTACAGCTAAGGAAGAGGAGGGATTTGAACTAAAAACAAGTATCTTCCCTAAGTTCCTTATCTCTTTCATGGACTCTAAGAAGGTCCATATTATAAAAGCAAAAGAGCACATTCGAAGGGGGAGCATGAAGAATCTAGGATAAAACTTAGGAAAAAATCTGTGTTTTTGCTTTTCCCAGGGGGGTTACTGGCAGATGTTCCAAGTTTCCAACTGGAATGACCTAGAATCATAGAATCATAGAATGCTTAAGGTTGGAAGAGACCTCTAGAGATCATTTAGTCCAACCCCAATTTGTTTCTGTTCTTAAAAGATGTATCATAACTTGTGTTAAACTTGTTTGGGATCTAACGCAAGTGATGTTCTGCAAACCAGGAGGCGTATCATAGAGCGTTAATGAAGTTTATTCTGTGACAAGAGCTGAGCTCCAGGCAAATGGAGAGCATCTTTCCCTGCGGACCCTTGTCCGTTAATTTGACAGAAATGCTTGAACCTCCCCTTGCTGTCTCTTTGTTCCTGTTTGCAAGCGCAGTTTCGTGCAGGCTGCTCTTAAAGATGATCTAATTTCACGTTCTGCCATGTAAACATGGAACTAGCTCTTAGGTTTCTGAGCGCGTTCGTAAGGGCCGGAGCTGCGCTCTTGCCAACCCAACCGAGCGGGAAAGTTGGCTTTGCTCTGTACGAACAGTGTGGACTAAGAAAGCCACACTAAATTTGGAAAAGAATTAGGGGAACTCATTTTCCGAGGTATTTTATCTGTCATTACCCTGCGTTATCGTTCCGTGGGAAGCGTTTGCAGCGCTCGTTGCCGTTTCCGTCATGCTTATTTTCGGCTTGGCGCGGTCTGACTTTCTGCAAACAAAAAGAATTAATGTAGGGAATGGTGAATCGTCTCTGCTTCTCTTTGCGTCCTCTTCCCCTTAGTCTCAGGAGCATGGGATCAGCTCCCACTTATTTCATGTTGGATCCAGAGTCTCAGAGCCCTCTGTTAGAGACTGAGGCCGCTGGGAGCTGGAGAAGGAAAGACCGGGGTGGGAAAGGGGCTGAAATTGGCCCTTGCCTGTGCTGGAAGCTCCTTTCCTGCTGCTGGCCAGGACTCTCCACTTTTAGGATTAAAAAACCATGATATAGGAGTTTTTGGGAAGCTTTGTCCTTATTTGGAGGCTAAACTAATTCAAAGCAAGCTAGATTTTAAAAGAATGTGAGAGAGGCAGGGATTTTCCAGCCTGGCAGCACTGCTATCCTGCTATTAGATGCAAGCGCACCCTGTAATCAGGAGGTCTCCAGTCATCTGATCCCTTAAAATCCAGAGGGTTGATGTCTGGACAGTCACCCGGGTCTTGTGCCTCACAAGTCTGTTTGTATAATCTACCCATGGAAAGTTTGCACATCTGGAAAGGGACCCAGGCCCCTGGGAATGGACGTTTCTTGCGCATTGCTGCCAGCCTGGGCAACAGGCTCTGTGCAGCCGCCAGTGGAGCTGCCGAAACAGCTCCCAGCTCGGCATGGCCCCTTTGCAGTCCAGCCCTTCTGGGGCCCAGTGTGTTTATACACTGCTGCTTTAGCTCTTAGATTAGCTTCCCTGTGTGCAAAGCAACGTCTCGTCTCTTTCCTAGGAATAATGAGTGAGATCTTTCTTTAAGCTTCCCAGAAATGAGACTGTAGGTTGGTGCTGCACTACCGATGGGATCTTCATCATAGCAGGATCGGTAGAAGTATTTCATGCAGAGTGGTTGAGTATCTGTTTACATGAAAACAAATGAGAGCCTGCAGTGCCAAAGTCTACAGAATGTCCTTTGTGGGAGCTTTGAGTCATAGTTGAAATCAGATTGTGTGCTAAAACTGGCTAATAGGCCTAAACATAGGTGTAAACATTATCCAGTATCATTTGTGTATATGTTTGTTTGAAGATGTTATCTCCTCCAGAGTGCCCACTGCTCCCCAGTGGTGGGGCACAGGAAGCGGGAGATATGGTCTCTGTTTCAACAAAGGGATTTGGGACATGTTTGGCTCTTTTTTTGTCATTGCCAGAAAGAAACCGTTCATCCCAAACCCAGTGTTACCCGCATCTCCTCCATGCCAACATTCACAGCTGCAGTTGGCTGAATGAAACAGTGATGACTCAGTCCGAGATCAAAAGTAAAATACCCTGCTGGGGCCTAGGTGCTCATGCCACCTCGTCGCCCCGTGCACTGGCAGCTGAGGGTTTCCTGATGGCTTTTTCAGGGAGCAGCGATGGTGCTGGGGGTAGTACATGAGGTCAGCAATGGCGATCCTGCGCTTCCATTTCTGCACGGATGTGTGGTAATTGAGCCTCCTTTTTCCACCCCAGGGAGAACGGAGGCGGTGATAAAGAACTTCAGCCCACACTACAGACGCCAGTACGCAGTGTCTTTCTGCAAGCACGTGCAGAATGAGCTGGAGCAGCACCGGGACTCCCAGTCCCAATTCCTGAAAACCAAGGTAAGAGCACGCGCTGCCCAGGCTGCTGCTGCCCTGCACTCCACTCTCCCGGCCCAGCAGCACTGGGGCTGCATGAAATAGTCAATGCTTTGTGAACTGAAATGACATTTTTAGTACAGTGTGTGAGAAACATGATCTGGAAGAATATCTGCTACCAAAAGGGCTTTGTTTTCTTGTTTTGTTTTGTTTTGTTTTTCCCACGAGTGATGCATGACTTGCTGTAAAGTTAACAGGAGCGACTGTTACTCAAAGCTTCTGAAAGTCAAGTCCAGCATTTTAAAAAGTTATTTGAACATTTGCGTGTATAAAAACACAGTGCAGAGTTATTCAGAAATGATTACCCATTTATGAGCTATTTGAACAGCCTTACACTGGGTGCTTGATACCCGGTAAATGTGTACGTAGAACATTTTGCATGTATGCTTTTTTCTAGACAATCCACACGTACACGCTAGGTTCGTACATGCAGATGCCAGATTTAGTCTCATTAGGTTTCAGGCTGAAAAGCTGTATTTCGGTGCAGCTTTGAGGTTTACTTTAGAAAAAAAAATTGCCGCTTTTACAGTCTCCATCTTTCGAGAGGGCAGTCTAGGTCAAGAAGAACCTTTGCACAGATTTCAGGCACAAAGTGTGCCTTTCAGTGAGGTTAGCTTTGACACTTGAACAGAAACTGTTTCTTCCTGATCACCACAAGATTTTATAAGAATCTTGGGCCAGAGATCATACGTTCAAGGCAGAAATTTATGTGGGAACTTCAGCTAACCCTTTCATCCCCTAAGAATCCCATAAGGTATGTGATAACAATATGAAATGAACCATGGAAATCTGTTCTTTGTTAGAGGAAAAGAGACAAAAAGAGAAACAAAACTCTATTTATTAAAGGAGAATCTGGAGACACAGCCTTTAATGTAAAAAGAGGTACAAAAACAACTTTTCAATTGGATTGGTATGAAATCACAGATACTGTTCTTGAAAGGGAGAGGTAAAACAAGGATGTGGCATATAGAAAGTGGGATAATGGTCATTCAGAAAAACACATGCATGTCAGCTATAAGAGAACAGATGCTTAAGTGTTACAAAGAAACATAAAATAATTTTTATAATAAAATTCATTGCTCCATCAATGAAATGCTTTTTAGCATGTAGTGAAAAATTGGGAATAATGAGCCGTGCATCCACTTACTTGCAATCAGCTTGTCACCTGAACAGTAAAGAAGATTGGCTCAGTCACAGGAATGGAGAGGTGGTTGGGAAGGGCCAAGGTTCCCAAGTGCCTAATCACCTGCAGCTGCAAGAATTTGACTGCATATGGAGTATCTGATTCAATGCAATATTTATTACTCCAAAGGCAGGTGAAGACTCGAGAGCCTCCTAGCAATGTTAAAGGAAACATAGAAAGAAAAGCTGCTCAGTGGCCATTACTCTAAAGTAATTTCAAATCTAGTAAATTGTCTTTGCAGCCCCCAGTGGAAGCTGGGACGGTCTTGTATGAAACAGAGGTGCTGCATTTTGCCGAGGACCTGAAGAAGTGGAAGGACAGATACGTTGTTATCCAGAGTGACTATACTGTAGATTGCTTCGAGACCAAAGAGGTAAATGCTTCTTCCTCTTATATTCCTTTATGTTTCCCAATGAACCAATATAAATTTGCTATGTGACCACTGCTGCTGTTTGTTTTTTTAGGAGTTGCCTGCAAATGCTGTCCCCAGACACACAGTTGCAGCCTTGCCCGACAGGGTGGAGGCTGTGGCTGGGTGTCTGCGGGGGGAGCAAAGTGCTTTTCCTTGGCCAGATACATTTGCAAGAATTAATGCATCATTTTAACAGCACTTTGAACTTGCCTTTACATATTGCAGAACACTTGTTATACATTTGTATGTCACTGTAATATGTCGGGGTGCTTCTGGAGCTCAATTTAGAGTAGCAGGTTTTCTGTTGCTTTGAGCTTTTTGTTTGGCAGCGGCTGCGGTGCTAGTAGTGAAACTCGTCTTGGTCTTCAAATCAAACAAATGTGGCTTAGAAGAAAATCCCATTACTCTCCCTGCTCCTTTTTTCCCCAGCTCCTCACCATGGCTGACAAACATGAGAGATTATTTTTAAATATGCTTTTGACATGTAAAAAGGTTTCAAATTTGAAATGGTCAGAGAATGCATCTGAAATTCAGTCAACTTTTCCCTATGAGGAGACACATGCATTAGCTTTGTAAATGAATTGTCTCTTTTATGCTTTTGCTCTCCTTCAGTCTTTATTTTGACCCCCTCTATCTTGATTTTCCAGGCCTACCAGAAAGGAGCCAGCCCTAAGTATCATATTCTTCCTGCAGGAGGCAAAGTACTAACTTCAGAAGAAGATTACAATTTGCTGTCTGATAAACATTTTCCAGATCCTGTTGGTAAGCACTGGTAAAAGTTGAATTGCCAAACCTCAAGCTGTTTTCTTTACACGGCCCTCTTTTTGGCTGCCTTTGAGGTCAGATTTTTAAACAGGGTATTAGAAGATGCCTGCAGCATGTTTTCTGACTCAAGCTGCATTTCCAGAATGAACACAGATACTATAAGCTAACATTCAGAAAAATACTGGATCCTGTGTTCCCAGTATCCAAGCACAGACACTTTGGAGGCTCTGCAAAGCAAACCCAGAAGCCTCTCAAGACTGCTGTGCTGTTTTCCACGCTTTGAAAATATTCCTGGATTATTTGTTTCCATTTTTGGAAGTCAGTTGGCTGTGTTGATTGACAGTTAACAATATATCCCACAGAGAGGGCAGGAAATGTTACTGATTTTGTTTTTTCTTTAACTGGAACTGCTGCGATTCCTCCTATCCACACCCCCACTCCATGAAAACAGAAAATTCTGTGTCTAAGGAACTGGACGTGCACATGATCCAGTATAAAATCAGAAAAATTCAGAACTGCCATTTAGCCCCCTTTTTATAGTACTGAAGCATTTGCTCCACAAGACTTATTCTGGGAAGATGCTTCTTGTGGCTGGAATCTTGGTGCAAAGTATGAAACAAAATAATTTTTATGTCTTGATCTGTAAATGGTCTTGTACAGTACGTAGGGATCAAATTCAGACTCAGAGGTAAACTGGACTTGAAGGTAACCTGCTCTTTATTTGCTTTACTTGAAATGTCAACTCAAAAGGTAACACTGCAGTTGTTCTGTTTGAAAACATTGAAGTTCAGGAAATAGCTGCTGTTCCTGTGAGGTTTAATGCAACGTTTCTACACGTTCTGCGGAGGAAACCCGAGCTGCCCGCTTAATTATTTTCCACGAAAACCTTGCTCACCAGCAAGTCTGACAAAAGCACAGGTTCTTTGTTCCCCTACAGATCCAATGCAACATAAGCTTTGATTCTTGACAGCTGTAAACTTTGTTCGGACAATAGTTTCTTGGACAATTTTTCCAAAAGTGTGCATTTTATACCTAGCTTGAATACAAAATGAGAGCATACCAAGTTGTGTAATACACTGAGGTGGTTGGTGCCTGCTGATCTTGCAGGTCCAAGGGGTACCAGTCTGCATCCTTACTCAGGGATCAATTATTTGGATCAAGGTAGAGACGGCTGAGTTTCAAACCTGATTTTCTCAAGTGTCATACCTTTCTGCTAGCAAAAAATTACTGTTTTAACTGTTCTTTCTCTGCTAGCACTAGGAGAGGACCAGAGCTATTGTGCATCTTGAAAATCCTGAGACATCAGTAGGTTTTAAATTGGGTTATCTATATTTTGCACAGGTTGCAATGAGAAGGAGGGTGCCCAGGCCTTTGTGCAGCTGCCGAAGGAGTTTCCCGTGTACCTGTGGCAACCGTACTTCAGGCACAGCTACTACTGCTTCCCGGAGCCCGAAGCGCAGCAGCAGTTCAGCGCGGTGCTCAGCGACTGCGTGAGACACTCCAACCACGGTAAGCACCAGGGTGGGTTCCTGCACTCTACCGTTTGCCCTGGTGCAGCTTTGAAGGCCAATTACAATAACTGTAGAAAAATGAGAAAAAAAAACAAAGTTTTTTTTTGTTGTTTTTGTTTTTTGAAATATGCTTGTTTTTCAGTGCCTAGAGGAAGGCCTACGTTAGCATACCCCTTCTTGCGTTGCGCCTGGACCCGCAAGGTTGGCAAATGCATCATAGTTGTAGTAGACCACATTGTACAGTGTGGAGGGAATGTCGTCTCTCAGGGCATTTGGTAATGTTAAACATAAATCACCAGCAGTCAAACACTTTGTTATTTTTTTAGTTTTTTCTTTAGATAGCATCTCAAACTCTCAGCTATGGTTAAGCCTCGTAGTTGGGATATGAGTTGTGTATAAGTCACAATATTGGTGAATTTTAAATCCTACTTCCTGAGCTCATAAGACTAAAAATCTTTAAACAAACAAACTTGTGACTTGCTAGGATAAAAAAAAAAAAAAAAAAGGTTCCTGTGGACTCTGAAGAGCATTTGTGAGTTGGGTCCTTCAGACAAAGAAATGCCTTCCTGTTTTTTAGATGAAAGAGTTGGTGTGATTTTTCTTTTTCCATCACACTGATCTGACTTCCCGTTTGGTGTCCAAGCTTTGCTGTGCCTTTCCAGGCTTTTCCAAGCCTTCCGTGAATTTTTTTTGAGTTCCACCTGCTCCTCCTGCCCTTGCTGGGAGACAAGGCGGCTCAGGAACTTCTCTAGCAATTTCAGCTGCTAGGGACTCAAGCCTGTGTTTGTGGATAAATGTAGTGAGTCAAAAGTTGTTTTTACTTGCAGCTGCAGTGTCTCCCAGTGTTTTCTTAGCTGTCACTCGTGTCTCTTTGTCACCCCATTATCCCCAGACTGCTGTGCCGTAGCATCTTCTCCACATCCTTGTCAGCTGTCTTTCTTTTTCCCATGTCTCCACTGCCAGAGATAATCCTGGCCTCCTCTAAGGCTCGGTTCTCTCTATGGAAACAAATATTTCTCTGTTTCTGGGCAGTCTCCTGAGGCGTGCAGTTATCTGCACAGTGCTCGGCGGTGGCTGGTCGCTAGCATGTCCTTTGCAGGCCACCGCGGGGGTCTCCAGCCTGCTCTTCCCTCACCTGAAACTCCCTAGTGCCCCTTTCAGCTGGTTTGGGAGCTCTCTCCCAGATTAGCGAGTTGGAGCGTGCCTTTCTCTCTCAGCTTGGTATGTGCAAGCCTAAATAAGCGACGCAGGTGCAAAAACTCCACAGGAAGCAAAAACCCCCTTGCAGGGACGACGAAGGCAATTTCACGACTGGATTCACTTAGGCTGAAGGCTGTGGCCTTGGAGGAACACACGTTGACTTGACGCTTTCACATAGGTTGAGTCTATAAAGACTGAGTAAATATTCCAGGTATAGCTGCCAGATGAGCCTAAATTCCCACAGCATTCTTAAAGGAAAAGTTTGCCCTTGTGGCTTGTAGCCATGTTTAGTCCATCCTTGTAATATCCATTTTTCTGCAGAGAACTGCAGAATTTGGTAAGGAGATGGGGATCCCATCAAGTTTTCCTGGCACTGTAAGTCTTCCATGACTTGACCTTTTCATTAGGCTTGAATTTTTCATTTCCCCCTGCTCAAGCAAGTGTAACAGGCCTGACAGAACTTTTGGCAGGTTTTGTTTTGTTTTGTTTTTTTAAAGGAAAGTTCAACACATCACTCTGGGGAACAATTCTGAGTTGGCAAAAGATGGGACCAGATGACCTCATAGGTCTTTTCCATCTTCTAACGCCTCCAAGTCTGTGTTTTATTATATTTCATGTCTCAGCTGTTGCTAATTTATGCATCTGTTCCAGGATGTCTCCCACTCCATTTCTCCTGTAGTGAAGTTTTTATCTGATAGATGATTCTTAATGACAATAGATAACCTTTATCAAGGCTCATTCTTTTTGCTCAGCAGACTAATTGGTAGATAAAGACAATCTGAAATAACAGCTATTGCTGCACCAGTAAAAAGGAATAAGCTTTAATAGCTAAGGAAATGCAAACTGTTCATTTTCTTGGATTCGTGGAATTATATCATCTCCTAGAAACTTAGATGCTAGGGGTGGAAAACTGGTCACTGACCAGCACCTCAAAAACCTTAATTCTGCCCTTGAAAAGCTTTTTTGGGTTTTTATTTAAAGGACTTAATATTGATTTATATTCTTTCTCTCATAACTATAATATGTTACTCTATACTCGTTTTTGTATGGAAGCAATTACCTTATAAAAACCAGGCATGTGAACAGCTTCAGAAAGTTGTAGATGTGTACAACAATATTATGGGTAACAAAGCTCTTGCTTGATGTGAAAATTAGCTGTGTTCTTAAAAAAAAAAAAAAAAAGAGAGAGAGAGGAAAGGTGAAGCTTAACTGCGTGTGGAGATAACTGCGTGAAAACCTAGTGCTGCAGAGGAGAATCGAGCGGGAGGAGCAGCCCTGGCTGAGGCACCACTCTCTCTAGAAAGTGCTGTAGTAACTTTTGCCAGGGCAGATTTTGGCAAGCTCAGGCAAAAAACAGATGTTATGTCTGATTGGGAGTTGCCTTCAAGTCACTTCTGTAAGCTGTCACTAGTTCAGAAAAGGAATGCTTTGTGCTGATTTTTAGGAAAAAAATCCAAAGGAGTCTTGGATTAAAGCATTTGCTTTCTCCCAGGAAGAAGCATTAAATCTTCCCTGCGCCTAACTGCTGCTTGCTGAACAGGAAACTTCAGTGAATCAGCATGTGGTCTTAACCTGGTATTTATTCCTGGTATTTAGGTATTTCCTCCCTCGAGAGTCCTTCTTTGTAAATAACTGGTCCAGCCTGTGTTTCGGGGTTTTCTGGTCAGAAATTCTGGTCAGAGGAGTAATTACAATAGCATTTGGATTTAGTGGTTGCTTCTTGCAGGTATGAGTCAGATGGATGGGCTGTGGATTTCTTCTGCCTCTCCTCTGCAAAGCAGTTTGTAGTCCCTGATGAATTTTCAGTTCCAGGGGAATTTCATCCTTCATTATCAATGGAATAGGGAGACCTTCTGCACGCTTTTAGGGAATAGTTCAGACAAAATACATCTGAAAGCTTTAAGATGTGCTTAAGCTAATCAGAAAGTGACTGGTTGTTGTATTAAAAGTTATTCTAGTAGAACTGGATTAGATTCTGTGAATTAGACTGACAGTTACTTAACCCAAGTGCAGAAATCATGACAGCTCCATGATTCATTTGGGCAGCTCCTGTTTTGAGCTCTGTAGCCATTCTGCACAGTTGGCTTTCTTGATGCCTTGGGATTTTGAGGGAAGGCAAAAAAACTTTGGGGGTTTTAAATGTTTCCTTAATGCTACCTTAAGTTGTGCCTTAATTGAGTTTTTCCTAGGTTTGTAGGGAAGAACTCCTAAACATTCACTGTTGCTTCAAAAATAACTGTTCTTTTCAAGCCTGTACAGAGTTAAAGTCTTCATCTGTGTATGATTTTATGTAGTATTTGCAGATTTTAAAACTTCTCATTTTTTTAAAGAAGCTGTTGACTTAGTCAACAGTAGTAGTGTCGGTAGGGTAGTGTGGAAGGAAGTAGCTCAGTTATTTTTAGCTGAAGTAGCAGACTCTATTAAACTAAACACATTTAAAGTACATGGCCATGATAGTGACAGCAAGTGTTAAAAACATTTCATTTATTGAGTTAATTTCAATGTCGCTCTGTTAAATAATATTCCAGTTTTGCAAGACTGTTCTTTCTTTAAGAGAAGAACATATTTGGACAATTTATGGCTTTAGCCGAAATTTCTATTAAAAATGAAATGCCAGGAAGCTGTGTGAGTGCCCAGATATTATCCGAGGAGTCAGTGTTCTCAGTTGAGATAACGGATTATTTTGCTACTATGTAGATCTGGACACGTCTGAGTAGTAATGGCATTGACATTTGTTACTAGTAGTGTTTTAGTATAAAGTAAGGACAAATTGTGGTGTTGAGTGGTGAGGAGCCTCATGAAGGAATGAAAACGGAGAGAAAAGGAACAAATGAAGCTCAGCTGGGGCCACCTTCACCATTTTTTTCCTACCATCATGATCCTTGTCATCATCACAACATCAGCTTCTAAAAGTCATGGATGATCTGGCCTGTCTTTTGAGTGAAGCAGCATTTGTTAATAGCAGGCAGGAGATTTTTTTTCCGATACTGTGTCAAGTGATGGTCCTAGCTGCCCATGTGGCATTCATGGCATGACTGGAAATTCTTTACAGCTCCTAAAATTTGTGCTCTATTGCAGAGCATTACTGAAGGGCTTCATTACCATCATGTGGCCTCCAAAAAAATATCCTTCTCCATGTGACTGTCTCTGTAACTATACAGAGTACAGAGAGGGGCTATGTGAATGCAGGTGAAGTCTCTTGAAATACTTACTCTCCCTGCAATTTCACTTGACTCATCCCAATGAAAAGGGAAAAAAAGAACTTACCTGGGAAGTATCCTACAAACTATGTGCTGCAAAATATATTCATAGCATAGCAGTTCTGGGACTGTCACATTGTTGGCTTTTTATTGGGAACATATTGGACGTTATTCATACAGAGGACAAACTTGGTGTTTTGAGAGCTTTGGAAGCTTCTTGGGCCAGGATCCTATCTTACTTTTCTTTTAAGCCTGTGCACTGGGCTTATAAGAGGACTAAAACTGTAATCATCCTGCCTTCGAAGGATCCCTGGAGAGATCTAAATGCAAATTCTTGACAGATTTTGTGCATCTCTGCTTCGTGGTCCCTTCGTGGTCCCACTGCTATTCATTCTGTGCAGTGTTTCACTGCAAAGAGCATGTTTTTGAAGATACCTTATTTAGGACAGTTTAGTCAGCAAGGTTAGCATGGATTTCTGGATCCACATGCATGTAGAAGAGCACCAGGTCATAAAAAGAGTTCAGGTATCTGTGTGATGGGATGAGACCAAGTGTCTTCTTGGTGGATGGAGGAATCATCATATCCGTGTATGTCTCC